GAGGGGACAGGGTGCACAGGAGGGGACAGGGTGCACAAGAGGGGACAGGGTGCACAGGAGGGGACAGGGTGCACAAGAGGGGACAGGGTGCACAGGACTCCTCACGGACACCCCATGGTGCAAAGGCAGCTCCTTCCTGGTGCCCGGGGAGCGTGTGCCCCTGGAGGGGACACGGATGGGCACAGYGCTGTCCATCTCCACTCCGGAATAGCTGCGTGGGTGTAATGTCCAGTGGTAATTGCAGKCGTGGAGGCAGCTCTCGGAGGGGCATTTAGCCCTGGCTCCTCTCTAACTGCTTCCATTTTTAGTTGTTTGAATCCACCCYGGAGCAGTAAATTGCAGTGTGCCGGGGCCACGGGCAGTGGGGACAGTGCCCAGTGCCTGGCAGGAGCTGGGGACCCACCCTGCCCGAGCTGCCATCCTCCCGAGCCAATGTTTCCTGTTGGGATTTATATAAAAGCTCCATAAACACGGACAAGAGCCRTGCTGTTGTTTGCACAGGTAGGAGTGCTCTCCCCACTTCCTCACCTCCTTCCTGAGTGGACACCAAGGAGTTGTGAGGGCGAGTGTCTCCCCAGTGTCCCCTTTTCCCTTGGGAAGGAGGAGAAGCTCTGTGCTGCCTCTCCAGYAYCTCTGAGCACTGAGATTCCCYCGGGTGCTGCTGAACCCGTCCAGARGAGCGGGCAGGACGCRTCCCAGCCCTGCTGCCCTCCAGCAAAACCCTCCCTGCCCTGGGAATCCGACATTTCTGTGTGCTCCTGCTGGCTCCTGGCACTCTTCCCTCCGTTCCTCCCTTCCTCCCTCCCTCCTGGTGACCCTCTCAGCCACGGGACAGCTCTGTGCTGCCGAGCCATCCCTACGCCATGGAAATTCGCTGCTGTCAAGTCCCTGAATCAGCTGGAAGGCACCCGCTCCGAGGTGTATCTGGAGAAGGGCTCTGCTGTGCGTGAGCCAGCACTGACTCATTTTTCAGGAACTGGAGGCACTGGGCTCCCCTCCATCCCTCCATCCCTCCCTCTCCATCCCTCCCCTGGGCTCGGAGGCCCACGCAGACGCTCCGCATTAGGGCATGTTCCGGGGAGCATGTGCTGTCCATAAACAAAGCGCTGAGAGACAGAAAATAATTTCCACAAATACCAAAGGCTTTTTTTTTTTTTTTTTCCCCCTCAAAGAATTCCGCCTCCCCCTTCCAAACCCTGATAAATCCTGAACATTCAATAACTATTTCCAAGCACTGCCCTGTGCCTGGGAGCGCCGGTGTTGGAGATAATTCCAGTGTTTGCTGGGCACCTTTCTCCCTGCCCGACTCCTTGTGTCAACAGTTTGGGTCCCAAATATTCCTGTGCCAGCCAGAGCCAGGAGCATTTGGGAAGGAAGGAAGGAGGCAGCTGTGACTCAGCTACAGCCCTTTGGGGTTCCTTTGGGTGCAGAGCTCCGTGGAGGATCAGGACCCTTTGGGGTTTGTGGATGCTCAGCCCATCCCTGGGGCAGGGGAATGCAGGGTCTCGCTCTCACTGGAGCAGGAGAGGCCGGAGCTGCACGGACCCAGTGCGTGGGGAGGATGAGTAGTGGTTCATTACTCACTACGTTATTACTCACTGTTTTTAACAGTGTGTCCTTCAGCCTGACGCCGTGGCAGGTTGGGATCAGCGCGGCTGCGGAGAGGAAGAGGGTGAGCTGGGGATGCTGGGGAGGGCTCGGGGCTCGGGAAGGGTTTGTGGGGTGGCATTGTCCCTGTCCTGGTCATTGTCACCGTGCCCAGGAGCTGCTCAGGAGGTGCTCAGGCAGGGTTTGTGGGGTGGCAATGTCCCTGTCCCGGTCATTGTCACCGTGCCCAGGAGCTGCTCGGGCAGGGTTTGTGGGGTGGCAATGTCCCTGTCCTGGTCATTGTCACCATGCCCAGGAGGTGCTCGGGCAGGGTTTGTGGGGTGGCATTGTCCCTGTCCTGGTCATTGTCACCGTGCCCAGGAGCTGCTCAGGAGGTGCTCAGGCAGGGTTTGTGGGGTGGCAATGTCCCTGTCCCGGTCATTGTCACCGTGCCCAGGAGCTGCTCAGGAGGTGCTCAGGCAGGGTTTGTGGGGTGGCAATGTCCCTGTCCCGGTCATTGTCACCGTGCCCAGGAGCTGCTCGGGCAGGGTTTGTGGGGTGGCATTGTCCTGGTCCTGGTCATTGTCACCGTGCCCAGGAGGTGCCTCAGGCAGGGTTTGTGGGGTGGCAATGTCCCTGTCCCGGTCATTGTCACCGAGCTGCCGGCTGTACCCTGCTCTTGTTCAAGGTCTGGGCAGGATGTTCCCGGCACCGTTGGCCGGGGTTGGGAGCTGATCCCGGGCTGTGCCTGTGCAGATGTGGYGTGGGGGTGGAGCACGGGGCTCCATCCCATCCATCCTGCTCAGAGCAGCCTGGGCTCGGGCTCAGTGTCCCTGCAATGTGTCCTGGAGGGGTCATGGGGATGGAGGAATGAGAGGGGAGAGCACGGCCCCGCAGCACCCTGAGCAGGATCGGGYTCTGCTGGAGCTCCCTGTGCCAGACCCAGCTCTGAACTGCCCTGAGTGTGTGTGACAGTCCCTGAAGGGGATGGGGACCTGAGGGGATGGACTGGGCTGGGCTGGAGAGCCCAGGGACAGGAGCAGGTCACAGAATTGGCCTTGAAAGTGGGAGATTTCTCCCCAAACAGCCACTTTGAAAACAGCAGTTTGGTGAAAGGAGATGGGCTGACCCTCTGGCTCCATGGGGGTGGCTGCTGTGTGCCCCATAAATCCCATAGGGAACAGAGCGAGATCTGCTTTGCCAGGGCTGGATGGTGGCACAGACACGGTCAGATTTTGGTCGGGATAAGGGATTTCCCTCGGTGAGGCCATGGGTCAGCAATAGCTGACACAGTGCAGGAGGAGGAGAACAGGAATCTCCCTTTCTGTAACCGACGTTAATGTTTCTCCCGCCCTTCTGGGAAATTCTGCTGCCTTTGGTTCTGATTCGCCAGCGGTTTCACTTGTGACACTTTGAGGGCTTTTACACAGCAAAAAATAACCCTGCCAGTCAGTGCTGGGTCACATCAGGCTGCTGAGGGGTCTGTGGGGACCTGCCACCACGGTCTGGGGAGATCCTGAGATCCAGGGACGGTCTGGGGACATCCTGAGATCCAGGGACGGTCTGGGGACATCCTGTGATCCAGGGACAGTCTGGGGATCTCCTGTGATCCAGGGAGAGTCTGGGGACATGCTGTGATCCAGGGAGAGTCTGGGGACATCCTGTGATCCAGGGATGGTGTAGGGACATCCTGTGATCCTGGGATGGTCTGGGGACATCCTGTGATCCTGGGATGGTCTGGGGACATCCTGTGATCCAGGGATGGTCTGGGGACATCCTGTGATGCAGGAATGGTGTAGGGACATCCTGAGATCCAGGGATGTCCTGGTATCCGATATGTGAGAGAAGGATCTCCTGTGATGGCGAGTGTGTCCCAGCACGTGCAGGATGTGGGAGATGGGGACAGTGGCCCTGCCCTGACTCTCTTTTCTCTTTACAGCTGGTGGGAGCTGAGCAGACCCTGCGGTGACCCCCGTGCCCACCCGGGCCAGCCCGTGTCCCCATGGAGTGGCGTTTGCTCAGCCCAGTCGCCAGGCAGTAGCTGCAGCAGTGGGATGTTTACCTGGAGGTGCCTCATCCTTTGGGCTGTGCTGGTCACAGCCACGCTCTGCGCTGCCCGCCCGGCCCCCACCCTGCCCGAACAAGGTAAGGCACAGCCCAAACTCCATCCTTTCTGTTCCTCTCGGGTGACAGGAGCTGGATTTCCCTGCAGCAGGAGCAGAGGCTGGCAGTGCTCCAGCCATGGGGCCACCAACATGTCCCCAGTGCCACCCGTGGTGTCACCCAGCTGCCTGGGAGCTGGTACCTCTGGGGACATGGCACATGCTGTCCCCAGAGTGGTTTGTGTGTCACAAAAGGGGGTGTGGGGCTCCAGCGATGCCATTTTAAACATTGAAATAAGCCCTGCCTGGCGTGTTGGTTTGGAAATGATGCAGAGCCCTGGGCTGGGTCCCTGCTGGGGTCACTCCATGTCCCATCCCTGCACCCCTGGGACCATCTGTAACCCGGGATGTGGGTGAGGCTGCTGCTGCCCTTCCTGGCCCTGGGCTGGTGGCTGTGGCCAGGGCTGCTCCTGGCTCAGTTCTGGGGCTGGGGGCACCCCAAAGCTCTGCAGATGGGCTCAGTTGTTCCCTGGGGGCACCCCAAAGCTCTGCAGATGGGCTCAGTTCCTGCCTGGGGCACCCCAAAGCTCTGCAGACGGGCTCAGTTCCTGCCTGGGGCACCCCAAAGCTCTGCAGACGGGCTCAGTT